TTACAAATAGCAATACGTCGTCTTCAAATAAGAGATGACTGAATAGGGCTGCCGTGGGCGCCACTGCGATTTTATTTTCAAAAAGAGGGTTTGCCCCGGCCTCTGCATCATGATGATGCATACGGCCATATTATTGAATATCAAAGGTCCAACAAAAGTCTTTAGGTCTCAAAAAAAGGAAAAAAGTCTCACAAAGAGAATGAAAGGAAAAACAGGATAGCCACAACCGGCAGGCAAAACATAAGATAGAAAACTAAACACCTATCCTATTACATGACCGCCATCCAAACCGGTTGAAGATAGCCCGTGCTACAATCTCCCATCGGATAGATCTAGCATCCAAATCCTCCCTTGCCTCCATCAGAGTGAGTAGCGACCATATACGGATCAGTGTAGTGGCCCGGAAGATAACCTACAAGAAATGAATATTTGTTGTTCTGTTAAAAACCAAGTCGTTTCTGCAGTTCCAAACTGCCCATAATAAAGCACATACTCCTACACGGCTATGTCTCGATGTTTCTGCATCAATCCCATCTAGTCACGTCCCAAATAACGTGTTGATAGTATGCGGAGGAGTAATATTAAAAGCTATGTGGGCCGACCGCCACAATTTTTTTGCCAATGGGCAGTCGAGAAAGAGGTGTTTAATGGATTCATCACTATCACAGAAACTACATCTTTTAGATCCTATCCAGTTGCGTTTTGCCAAATTGTCCTTAGTAAGAATGACTTGTTTGTGGACAAACCACATAAACACTTTGATTTTTAAAGGCACTTTGACTTTCCAAACATGTTTCGACTGAGGAATAGTGCTAACGTTGATAACATCCAAATACATGGATTTAACCAAAAACTCACCATTTTTAGTTAGTTTCCAGCGCAACTGATCGGGCTGTTGAGAAAGGTAGACATCCATCAATCTTCTCACAAAATGGAGCCAAGCTTCCCAACGGTTTCCCGCTAACATCCTCCTGAATTGAATATTAAGAGGATTGAACTGTAATACTGTTGCAACTTAGGCGTCTCTTCGCTGAACAATATTATAGAGAGAAGGATATTGGAATGCAAGGGGCGTCTCCCCTAGCCATGTATCCTCCCAGAATCTTGTGGACGTACCAGATCCAACTACAAATTTTGTCCTGTTAAAAAAGACTGATTTCACTCTCATCAGTCCTTTCCAAAAAAGGCGAGTCAGTCAACCTTATCGTCATCTGAGACAATGTTTTGGATTGAAGGTACTTATTACATAGAATCTGGGCCCATGTGGCACCCGTCTCTACAGATAACTTATACAGCCACTTGCTGAGAAGACATCTATTCTTCACCTCTAATTTTTCAATGCCGAGACCCCCTTGATCTTTCGGCCTTCAAAGGATATCCCATTTAGCGAGTCTGTATTTTCGTTTTAATTCATCGCTCTGCCAGAAGAAGCGCGATCGATAGAAATCTAGCCTTTTTCGTACTCCAACTGGTACTTCAAAAAAGGACAATAGAAACATAGGCATACTTGTGAGAACCGAATAAATCAGAATTAGTCGGCCTCCATATGACATAAGCTTGCCCTTCCAACAGCTTAGTTTTTTCTTCAAATCGATCTTCAATGCACTTCCACTCTTTGTTAGAAAGCTTGCAATGGTGGATTGATATACCCAAATACGTGAAGGGTAAAGACCCCAATTCGCACCCGAACAATTCCTTGTAAGCTTCTTGTTCTTCTTTCGCTCTTCCAAAGCAGAACAATTCACTTTTATGGAAGTTAATCTTTAACCCCGACAATTGTTCGAACAAGCATAACACAAACTTCATGTTTCTTGCTTTAGCCAAATCATGCTCCATGAAGATGATAGTATCATCAGGGTATTGTAGGATAGACACTCATCGTCAACTAAATGCGGAACGAGGCCACCTACCTGGCATCATCCTTAGCCCTTCCTATTAGGATTGTCAACATGTCGATGACAATGTTGAACAGAATCGGTGACATCGGATCTCCTTGTCTCAGGACCTTGTGTGTCTGGAAGTAATGACCTATATCATTCACTTTGATTCCAACACTCCCTTTTTGCGTGAAAGAATCTACCTGATCCCTCCAGGACTGATCGAATCCTTTCATATGCAAGGCCTGCTGAAGAACCACTGCGATGCCTAATAATTTTCTGAAATTCCCCTGCTCCTCCATAGGCAAGACATATCTTCAGCCGCTAACAGAAACAAATACGAGTATAGGGCCCGCTTGATGTATCCCTCTCGAGTATTTAAAAGCCTTTGTGTGTTCCCCGTTAAAACACACTGATAAAGAAACAGATGTAACAATCCCCATGATAGACATCACCCATCTCTCGGTCCAACTTCCACATTATAGCCCGAAGATAACCCCCTCGACTCTATCATACACCTTCATCATGTCAAAATTTAAGAGCACAATATAGTGAACTCCTTCCCCTCTTCCTCTTCTTCCTAAAATTTAATCACTTGTATGCAGTCAAGACATTATTTCTGATCAACCTACCTAGGACAAATGTTGAGCACCTCACTAATAGGGAAAAGCCTACTAGCAGCGCAGGTTAAATAGCACCCACACTACTACTAGCTCGCTACAACTAACTGGTAGTAGTAGCGCAGGTGCCACCCGCGCTACTACTAATTATCTGTAACGCGTGTATGTGACCGGCGCTACTACTATTAATTTAAAAAACAAAAACAAAAAATCTCGATCCCATGCGTGCTGTGGCGGCAATGGTTCGATCCAGCGACAACAATGTTCGTCAAATGCGCGGACAAGCAGCGACATACCGGTTCAGGCAGCACCTGCTGGAGAGAACCGGATCCAGGGAAGAGCAAGACGGTGGGGCTCCTCTTCGCGGCCAAGGCAAAGAACTCTTGGTCATCCATGGCGGAGACCTACACGGGGATGGACATGGGAGGGTGAGTAAGACCAGAGGGGAGAGAGGAAGGAGCTGGAGGGAGCACCGGGGCTTGTCGCCGATGGTGAGGTGCTCTGGTGTGGTGGCACGGAGGCGCGGTGGGAGACCGGCGAGCTCCTGGATGCCATGGAGGAGGAGGAGGAGGAGGCCTCGTTGGGCGCCATGAAGTAGGAGGCGTTCATGGGTAGGAGCGCCATGGGAGAGCCTATGGAGCAAGGGGGGAGGGATGGGAGAGGAGGGATTCACGGGGGAGTAGATGGGGATTTTAGGCTATTAAAAGACCCTATACTTAGTAGAAGTGCGGGATTTATACCCCTCGCTACTACTATGGCATGTCTCGGAGGGCATGGTGGAGACCACTTAATAGCAGTGTGAGTTTATAGCCCACACTACTACTATCAACTTAGTAGCCCGGGGTTTATACCCCTCGCTACTACTATGGACTGTCTTGAGGGGCACGATAGAGACCACTTAGTAGTAGCGCGGATTTATAGCCCGCGCTACTACTATCAACTTAGTAGTAGCGAGGGGTTTATACCCTTCGCTACTACTAATTTATAGTAGCGTGGCGCATATACCTCTCGCTGTTGCTAAGCATCGATCTATAAGGTCCCTTTTCTTAGTAGTGCCATATTCAATCTATCAACTTGCACTTTCGACATGATTTTTAGCACAACGTTACATAAACTAATTGATAGAAACTAAGAGAGGGAAGATGCACCTTGAATTTTTGGGATCAAAACAAGCAAAGTCTGATTTACCTATTGTAAGTCGAAAGTCTTCTTCTGCTCCCGAGCTCAAATGAGCTCGGCATGAGTAGTAAAATCCAAAAAAGAAGAAAATCTTACTTTTTCTGGAAAACTTTGGCAAATGCTTTGAGTGCTTGAATAGTTTCATCACCAAATGACATTGTGAAAGTCATGGAAAAAAAGGGGTAAAAATCAACACTCCAAAATGCTTTCAAAACTAGCATTTTTGGAGCATCAATTTTTTCGTTTTGCCACGACTTCATGGATGGCATTTCATGACAAACTTTTGCAAGCGCACAAAACATTTGTCAAAGTTTTCCACCAAAAAATTAGGTTTTATTTTTATTGTTTTCCTATTTGTTCTGATTTTACTGTTCGGTCAGGAAGCATTTGAAATCGGGAGCAAATACTTGGCACCCTAAGCCCTCAACACCATTTAAAATATTCAACACAACCCTTGTCACATTTCCACACATGCCTCAGTGATGTTGGAAAAAGTAAGCTAGAAACCCATCCGGTCCAGACGACTTTTGTCAAGTACATCTAAAATGAGTGCATCTTGATCTCTTCCGTTGTATATGGAGTGTCCAGTCTTTGCATTCATTGCTGCCGTTTAGTTTTCGTGGTGCACAAGAGAGAATGCCATCCATCCCGAACGTTTCCTATGTATTGTATAGTTTTTTTATAGAAATTCTACCGTATGATTGTGCAACTGTTGAGCTTCCTCACATTACGACGCGGACGGCGTTTGAGGCCTTTCAATTCTATTATTATTATTCTTCCTTCTGCGTGTGGCATGTTGATGAAAAAAAAAACAGTGTTGCTATCTCCTTCATGAAACACCACTAAAAAAACTGGCTCAAGCATAATATTACAAATGGGCTCAATAAATCTAGCAGCCCAAAACTCCAGCTTGTTTCTGTTCGGCCCAGAAGTAGGCCCATTGCGGCAGAAGAAATGGATTCATCGCACCCACATCGCACATCGCACACTCGGCCATTTCCGGCAGTTCCCCACCTAACCCACATCCAGAGCAATGGCGGCGGAGGAGAAGCAAGAGATGGGAACGGGAGCGGCGCCGGGAGAGAAGGGAGCGACGACCGGGGACAAGGCGATGGGGAAGACGGGAGCGACGGAGGAGGAGAAGGGAGACGCGGCCGCGGACAAGGAGAAGGGGTCGACGGCGGAGAAGGAAGAGTAGGGAGCGACGGCCGGGGATGAGGAAGAGGGGGAGGAGGAGGAGGAGAGCGCCACGGCGGAGCAAAAGGGATAAAATCGACCGGCATCGGCAAAGAAGGGGCACAAGAAGAAGGCCGAAGCAGGGGAGATGGAAGGGATGTTAACATGGTTCTCTGAAATTGCATTATCTGAGAAGGGAATGTCGGCGGCGGAGAGGGAAAGAAGGGAGCGACAACGTTTTAGCGGAACGAAGGGACAACGGCCGGAGGAGAAGGGAGCGATGGAAGAGGTGTCCGGCAAAAAAGAGATCTTTTTCTTCATGGCCAGTGCTGTCATCACCTTGGAGAGCTCGGATGGGATGCTGTTCACGGTGTCGGAGGAGGCGGCACGGTTGTCCGTGCCCCTCGCCGACATGATCGACCAGGGCTGCGCCGGAGGCATCATCCAGCTACCCGACGTGGACGCCAGGGCCCTCGCCACGGTAATCGAGTACTGCAACAAGCACGCCGACGCCGCCTCTGCCAACAGCCGCGTCGATGAGGGTAGCAGCAGCTGCAACTCCGAGGCATCCGTGGAGGCGCTGATGGAGTGGGACCGCAAGCTCGTCGACGGCCTCAGCCAGGACGCCCTCTGCGACGTCATCATCGCCGCTAAGTTCCTCCACATCAAGGGGCTCTTCGACGCTGCCTGCCAGAAGGTCGCCGTCGTGGACCAGATAGAGGAGGAAGACGCGTGCACTTGGTTCTCTGGACTTACTCCCTTTTCTGAGAAGGGGACGGCGGCAGCGGAGGGGGCAAGAACCAATGGTCAACGGCCGGAGAAGAAGGGGACGATGGGAGAGGAGGCGGAGCAGGTTGCTGGCGAAAACGACACATTTTTCTTCGGGGCCAGCGGAAAAATCATCACCTTAAAGAGCTCGGATGGGATGCTGTTCAAGGTGTCGGAGGCCGCAGCACGGCTGTCCGTGCTCCTCGCCGACATGATCGACCAGGGCTGCGCCAAAGGCATCATCCAGCTACCCAATGTGGACGCCAGGGCCCTCGCCACGGTGATCGAATACTGCAATGAGCACGCCGACGCCACCGCCACCGCCAATCCCGACGCCAACCACGGCGTCGCTGAGGGCAGCAGTAGCTGCAACTCTGAGGCATCCGGTGAGGCGCTGAAGGAGTGGGACCGCAAGCTCGTCGACGGCCTCAGCCAGGACGCCCTCTACGACCTCATCATGGCCACCAACTTCCTCCACATCAAGGGACTCCTCGACGCTGCCTGCCAGAAGGTCGCCGACATGATCAAGGGCAAGAGCGTGGAGCAGACGCGAAAGATGTTCGGCATCGCCACCGACTTCACCGAGGAGGAGGAGGAACTGCGTAAAGAGAGTCCATGGGCCTTCGAGGAGTAGGAGCCATTTATTTCTATGGTAACATCTCACTGTATCTGGTGACTTAGTGGTTCTGTTCTGCCTCCTTTATCACTAATTTCTTAGTGGTCTTTGTCAAAGATTATAGAAGTAAGGTCAACTTGATTCGTCTTTCGCGTGCTTAAGCCTTTTTCATTTCATTCTGTCGAAGAAGATTGGGATCGAATTTGTATTTAAAGCTTTGAACTGCATGCTTCAAGTGGATGAATGAGTAAACCTGAATTACCTGACATTTCTCACCAGCCCCATGAATTGCTGTTGAATTTCTTCAGCTACTCTTGATCGAAGGTGGTGTGGATAGTACTATTCTTGATCTGCTTGGCTGAATTGGGAAGTTCCCTCAAAGTGCTTGTTATGCCTTGCCCATTTTCTTGCAGCTGGGAATATCATACCATGGTTGCTCAGTCTCTGCAGTTGTGCTTGTATAAAGTTGCAGTGAATATTTCAAAGGCTTGCAGTGAATGGCACATACTGATGTGTATGTCACTGATTAGAGATACCATGAATTGCTCTGTGTCTGTGTTGGACTTTTCTTTGATTGAGCATGAGTGAATAGCATATATATCCTGACCCATGCAATTGGTGAGTTTCTTATGCCACATTGGATTGTGTGTTTTGCTTGACTACATTCGGCTGAAGAATATAGGTCCAGTAAGTATTCTGGTAGTAATTTTTGCATGTGGCTCATGCGTCTTAGTTTTTCTAAACTATGTATTCATTTCAAACTAACCTTATCAGTCAATTGTCACCATGTAACGGATAAGGATCTTCTCTTGTTCTTATGTTTGAGTATGATTCAGCTCATACTATGCTTGGTTTTCAGTATGATCTTGTTATTTTCTTCTGTATTTCGATGAAGGACATACTGTTTCTTTTCTTTTTTCCTTTGAGCTTGCATCTTCTAGCTAGTATTAAGCTGCGTGTATCATTTGCGATGCGTAAACTCAGACCCAAATGTTAAAGAAATTAACTATACAGTCAGGGAACATGCTTCATACTGGTGATGTTAGTACTACCATTATTTCTTCCTGGTACACGTGTATTTCTGTTTCTCGCTCTTGATGTCATTTCAGAGGAACTAGTAGAGTTGAGCGCGCTTTGCTGTGTTGTTGGTGTTATTGGATTTTCATAATTTATTTACTCCCTCTATTTCAAAATCTTAGATGCATTAGTTTTGGAAAAGCCAAAACTCTTCAAGTTTGATTAAATTTGTAGATAAATATATCAATATCGATAATATCAAATCGGTGTCATTTGATTTATCATGAAATGAAATTTTTATATTTTATTTATTTAGTATTGTGGATGTCGACTTTTTTGGCTCTAAATTTGGTCAATGTTAAAGAAATTTGTCTTTTCGAAAAAACTAATACATCTTATATTTTCGAACCGACGGAGTATTTCGTTTGGCAAGTTGGAGAAACGATGGAGTGTGTTTTATTTTTATTTATAATGTGGTGTTTTTGGTGGGCCTTTTGCAGTGTGATTCTAGGTTATCTGCTAATCAACCATACTTATGTGAGAAAATTTTCTACGTCTATGACTGCATGTACTATATTTGTGTTACAACATCACACGTTTGTGCTTCTTTTTTCTATCTGGCGAGAGGGTGCGTGCGGTTGATATGTTTTTATATGCCGGTTATTGTCGATCGATTTGAAAAAACCGTTGACCCGCTCAAAAAGTGATCTAAATTTAAAATTGAATACCTCAATCAAATGGAATGAGTGTAGCGAATTTAAAAAAATAGAATGAGAGAGCTCATTAATAAATTGTTGACCCGGTCAAATCAAGTGGCCCAAGTTAAATTGAAGACCTCAATTGATTACGAAGCCTCTAAACTTAGGGAGAGGGTAGATAGATAGATGAGTGACCCAATTCTATTTCCTTGAGAAATTGTTGACTCTGTTAAAATTGGGTGACCCAATTTTAAGTGGACACCTCAATTGAATGTGGGCTCTTCAAAACTAGAGGGCATGGTGTTATAGAGGATATGCATCTTTGTTTTTATTGAAAAGAAAATGGAGACTTCTATGCGAGCTGTGCGGAATTAACAGAACTGAGCACACAGTCCCTGAGTATACTTGGGCTAGCAAGCCAGACAGAGCTGGAAAGTTGGCTGCTACGTCTGGCCCACAAAGTGAATGTCTTATCCTGATGTTACTTTTCAGTAATTTCTGATCAACCCAGTAGATTGCTCTTTCTCTGTCCAGTGTGTTGTACTATTCCTGATTAATTTTTTGTTGTAGCTAGTATCGGAGATTTGCTTGAGAAGTTACTATTGTAGTATTGTTCCCCCAATGCATGTCATGTCTTGCTCAACTCCTGCAATCTCTGCAGCTCTGCTTGCGCAGTGAAATTTTTAACTACTATAATTGCATGATATATTCTGAATTCTGTCTATCCCATGCATGGATTACTCAAGCTCTCCAAACATTGAAGGTGTGTTCTAGCTAGCTAGTAGCACTCATGATCAGCTTGCATGAAGCAATTGTATATTCCTGCAATTCATGTCATGCAGATTAGATCCCATGATTACTCCACCTCTGGTGTTTTTTTTTTTTTGCGAATTACTCCATCTCTGGTGTTCTTCTTGCGTGAACATTAAGTGAATATTTCATCCAAAATTGAATTTTGTCTTTTTTTTTCAATTGCATTATGTAACGAATTGCAAGCTTGCTCTGCAACCAGTGTTCTGTTGTCTGTTGTAACAGATTATACAATGCATGGTTTCATTTTTGTAGTTATACAACAATGCATTGTATAACCTATTTGAACCATACTAATACTCATTTTTGTAGGTTGTTAAATGCATGGCCTATTTCATATGTTTGTGTTCTGTCCAAGATGTTACAAATTTAACAAAAAAATGATGAAACAAATGAGAAGAGATCAAGAGAAAAGGTCATCGCTAGCTATGTTTCAAGCGCAGTCAATGAAGGAGTGAAGCTTGGTTAGAGAGAGAAAAGGAAAATGAGAGATCAATAAAGAAGACAAACATGGTCTTGATTTATGTTCTCTTGATAAGGGTTAAGTATGGGATCATGTAATAAGCTGTTTGGGAGCGGATGCATGGAGGACGCATTAGGAAAATATAGTAAGGGCGTGTGCAACGCTATGCCGCAAATCTGATGCACTATCCGTCTGGGGACGCGTCTATTGGACACATCCAAAACGTCGCATTTCAAATGTGAATTGAAAAAAATACGAATGAATTTCGTGCAAACCGGACGATTTTCATTCAAAGAAGACCAAATTCATGAAAAAGTTGACATATTTCATTAAGCAAAATCGGATATGACATTTTTTAAACATAGCAAAATTATCCTAGTCTAAATCTTCGCCGATCGTGGATACGTCCTTGTCTGACTTCCTACTCTTCCTCGGACGTGCACTGTTCCGTCTCCCACACCCTAATCTTCATGGGAGTCCGTCGCGTGGCCGTGGACGTCGCCGGTCTGGCGAGATCCATGATAGACAACAACCTTTGCTTAAACATAATCTTAACATGATTTTGCAGAGGTGTGAATTCGTCTAATACGTAAGAAAGGAGAGAAATTGATCATATTTTCCTTAGGCAACAATCTTTGCTTTCGTGGGAAACATATTAGAAAACAAAATTTTCGTGCCTACGCACACCCAAGATCGATATGAAGATGCATAATTGGTTGGGATCACGATCGTTGCCGTCACCGAGTTGCAATGGAAGAAGAACATGTTGGTGTAGATCGTACTTGGAGTCCCTCGAACAATCGATGAATGATCCCGCGAACCGCCCACGAACAGTCCCTCAAACCGAAGACCGAAAGCAGAACCTCTCTGCTTGGTTGCAAGCATGCAACCTTCACGATCCGGTAGTGTTTCGCCGTCCAGAACTAACTGTCACCAGAGAATTAGAGGGAGGAGATTAGAACGGCACTGGTGTGACGCCCCCGATTCAATCGTACACTAATCATGCACGCAAACGTGTACGATCAGGATCAGGGACTCACGGGAAGATATCACAACACAACTCTAAAACATAAATAAGTCATACAAGCATCATAATACAAGCCAGGGGCCTCAAGGGCTCGAATACAAGTGCTCGATCATAGACGAGTCAGCGGAAGCAACAATATCTGAGTACAGACATAAGTTAAACAAGTTGCCTTAAGAAGGCTAGCACAAACTGGGATACAAATCGAAAGAGGCGCAGGCCTCCTGCCTGGGATCCTCCTAACTACTCCTGGTCGTCGTCAGCGGGCTGCACGTAGTAGTAGGCGCCTCCGGTGTAGTAGGGGTCGTCGTCGACGGTGGCGTCTGGCTCCTGGACTCCAGCATCTGGTTGCGACAATCAGAAAGAAAGGAAAGGGGGAAAAAGGGGGGAGAAAGCAACCGTGAGTACTCATCCAAAGTACTCGCAAGCAAGGAACTACACTACATATGCATGGATATATGTGTAAGGAGGCCATATCAGTGGACTGAACTGCAGAATGCCAGAATAAGAGGGGGATAGCTAGTCCTATCGAAGACTACGCTTCTGGCAGCCTCCGTCTTGCATCAAGTAGAAGAGAGTAGATCGAAGTCCTCCAAGTAGCATCTCCAAGTAGCAACTCCAAGTAGCATCTCCAGTAGCATCGCATAGCATAATCCTACCCGGCGATCCTCTCCTCGTAACCCTGTGGAAAAGCGATCACCGGGTTGTCTGTGGAACTTGGAAGGGTGTGTTTTATTAAGTATCCGGTTCTAGTTGTCATAAGGTCAAGGTACAACTCCAAGTCGTCCTATTACCGAAGATCACGGCTATTCGAATAGATTAACTTCCCTGCAGGGGTGCACCACATAACCCAACACGCTTGATCCCATTTGGCCGGACACACTTTCCTGGGTCATGCCCGGCCGCGGAAGATCAACACGTCGCAGCCCCACCTAGGCAAAACAGAGAGGCCAGCACGCCGGTCTAAACCTAAGCGCACAGGGGTCTGGGCCCATCGCCCATAGCA